GCTGACTCTCACATAAGTCTGCGCTGACTAGATTGCTGGCATCTTTCATGAGTCCTGGAAAGGCTCCATCTTTCTTAATATTGCTCAGTATGGAGATTTTCTCGATATGTCTGCACCTTAGTATTTCTTAGCGCTGGGTCATTTCATGCATATTTATCCCTACATCAGGAGAAAGGTGAGCGACAAACAAAGTAAAGAAATAAAGAAATACACTTCTGACTGACAACACATGAGGGGGCTCAACCACACAGGAGCCTTGGGGACCCATTTTGCCCCTCCAGCCTTGTTTCAAGGAGGGCTTGAACCCCCCCCCCCCCCCCCCCCCCCCCCCCACACACACACACACACACACATACACATACACATACACTCCCAGTTCTAGGGTCCATGTACTAACAAAAATCCATCATTTCTTTCCTGAATTGGTCAAATATTTATTCTCCCTAGCATTTCTCAGTGCTAAATCATTCCATATAATTCTGACTCCTAACACATGTGGAAGTGCAACTCATAACACACAAGGAAGCTCAACCTTGGTGGCCTGATATTTGCCCTCCAGCCTAGTTTTAGGGAAGGCTTAAGACCCCCACTCCCAGTTCTAGTGTCTATACTTAGTATTTAAAAAAATTCCATCATTTATTTCCCCAGTTGGTCCAATAATTTCTCAATATTTGTTCTCCCTAGTGTTTCTCAGTGATGGGTGATTCCACCAGGGGACTCAACCACACAGGGGCCATCCCCCCCCACCTTGAACCTAATTTTAGGGGAGGCTTAATACCACCCCCCATCCTACTCCCAGTTCAAGCTTCCATGTATCAGGTGCCTCCAAAAAAACCCATCATTTTTCCCAGTTGGTACAATATGTTATCAATATTCCTTCTCCTTAAGTATTTCTTGGAGTTGGGTCATTCCACACACTTGTGACTGACAACACAGAGGACTCAACCACATGGGTCTTGGTGGCCCATTTTTCAACTACAGCCTAGTTTGAGGGAAAGCTTAAGACTCACATTCTCAGTTCAAGGCTCCACATACTAAAACACCTTCATTTCCTTCCGCAATTGGTCCAATAATTTCTTGATATTTCTTTTCAGCATGGGGTCCTTCCATACACTTCTGAGTGGCCACACACGAGGGAACTCAACCACACAGGGAGTCTTGTGGGTCCCATTTTGCCCCTCTAGTCTAATGTTAGTGCAAGCTTGAACCCCACTCCCAGTTCTAGGTTCCACATATCAAGTACCTCAAAAAAAATCCCATTGTTCGTTTTCCCAAATTGTGCAATACTTTCTCAATATTCCTTCTCCTTAGTACTTCTAAGCACTGAGTCCTTCCACACTTGTGGCTGACAGCATTGGAGGGGATTCAACCATGTATTAAGTACATCCAAAAAAAAAATCCTTCTTTTTTTTCCCCAATTGGCCCAATACTCTCTCAACACTCCTTCTCAGCACTGGGTCATTCCATACAGTTCTGACTGGCCACAGAGGAAGGGGGCCCAACCACAGAGGAGTCTTGCGGGGGTTGTCCCATTTTCCCAGTTTTAGGGAAGGCTTGGGCCCTCCAAATCCCAGTTTTAGGTTCCATATATCAAGTACCTCCACCCTCCCACCCCCTCACCCCAAACATTTCTTTTCCCAGTTGGTGCAATACTTTCTCAATATTCCTTCTTCTTAGAATTTGGTCACTCCATACACTTGTGACTGACAACACAGAGCGGACTCAACTACATGTATCCTGGTGGCCCATTTTACACTTCTAGCCTAGTTTGAGGGAAAGCTAAACCCCACACATCCAATTCTGGGCTCCAAAAAAATCCTTCATTTCTTTCCCCAACTGATCCAATACATTCTCAGTATTTCATCTAAGTGATAGGTCATTCCATACAGTTCTGACTGGCCACAGTGGTGGGGGGCCCAACCACAAAGGAATCTTAGAGGTCCCATTTTGCCCCTCTAGTCTAGTTTTAGAGAAGGCTTGACACCTTCAAATCCCAGTTCTGGGTTCCATGCATCAAGTATCTCCAAAACAACACATAATTTATTTCCCCAGTTGGTGCAATATTTTCTCAATATCCCTTCTCCTTAGTATTGGGTCAGTCTATACACTTGTGACTGACAACATAGAGCAGACTCAACCACATGGGTCCTGGTGGGCCATTTTTCACCTGCAGCCTCGTTTGAGGGAAGGCTTAAACCTCATGCACCCAATTCTAGGGTCCGTGTACTATGGCATCTCCAAAAGATCCTTCATGTCTTTCCCCAACTAGTTGAATACATTCTCAATATTGGGTTGCTGAGAGACTTTGCAATGCTAATCAAGGCTATTCATTGCAACATTCCCACTTGCCTCCAACAGACAATAATTCCGCCCTGGACCTTCCACAGATATATCAACCCCACTTGCCGAGTTCCCAACAGATCCCTCAACCTCTGAGGATACTTGCCATAGAAGCAGGTGAAACGTCAGGAGAGAATGCTTCCAGAACATGGCCATACAGCCCGGAAAACTCACAGCAACCCAGTGATTCTGGCCATGAAAGCCTTGAACAACACATTCTCAATATTGCATCTCAGTGCTGGGTTCTACCATACACTTCTTACTGGCCAGCCACACAGGAGGGGACCCAACCACATGAATCTTGGGGGGGGGGGGTCCAATGTTGCCCCTCTCATATAAGCCTGCTTTCCCCACTTCCAGTTGTAAAGGTTTTCCCCAGTCGTTGGTACTCATCTCCATTTCTAAGGCAAAGAGCTGGCGTTGTTCATAGACACCTCCAAGGTCATGTGGCTGGCATGACTGCATGGAGCACTTTTACCTTTCCACTGGAGCAGTAGCTATTGATCTACTCATATTTGCATGTTTTCGAATTGCTAGATTGGCAGAAGCTGGAGCTAACAGTGGGAGCTCACACAGCTCCCTGGTTTCAAACCTATAACCTTTTGGTCAGCAAGCTCAGCAACTCAAAGGCTGTCAAAGGCTCTTCCCTAAAATACAAACCCCAGAATTCTGCAGGAGGCAGAAACTGGATTTAAAGTAGATTCATTCTCTAGTGTGATGAGGTCCTGAGATAGAAGCCATCAACTTCCACAGTCCAACCTACAGTTGAGATCAGGAATAAGCAATTGAGATGGGGAGAGGAAATCAGGGTTAAATTTAAAGTATGTTTTTGAAGGGACTAGGGTAGAGCTTTCCAAACATTTCATCTTGGTGACACATTTCTTAGACATACATCATTTTGCGACACAGTAATTCAGTTTTAGTAGCAAATGGAAGTTAACCCAGCTCCTTATAAGCGATACAGGGGTATAGGTAAAGGTTTCCCCTTGACATTAAGTCTAGTTGTGCCCAACTCTAGGGGTTGGTGCTCATCTCCATTTCTAAGCCAAAGAGCCGGCATTGTCCATAGACATCTCTAAGGTCATGTGGCCAACATGACTGCATGGCACGCTGTTACCCTCCTGTCCTAGTGTATATTTTCATCCTTTTAATAAGGTAAAGGTTTCCCCTTGACATTAAATCTAGTTGTGCCCAACTCTGGTGTGCCATTACCTTCCCACAGAAGTGGTACCTATTGATCTACTCACAGCCCAGAAAACTCACAGCAACCCAGTGATTCTGGCCATGAAAGCCTTGGATAACACATTCTCAATATTGCATCTCAGTGCTGGCCAGCCACACAGGTGGGGTCCAGGCATGTAGCTGGGGGGGGGGGGCTTGAGGGGCTTCAACCTCCCCCCTCGAAATTCTCATGGTGGTCCGCGAGAAGGCCTTACTGGTACATTATTTAAACTGTTATGTTTATTCATATCATGATCTGATCACCATGCTCAATATATCCCATAAGCATGGGGGTATTGGGGTAACGATACAAAAGATTTGCTAGGGTAGACCCTCCTCAGCCCCCCCCCCCAACCACCCATGAGTCTTGGGGGGTCCAATGTTGCCCCTCTAGTCTAGGCATGAGTTCCCCACTTCCAGTTGTAAATGTAAATGTAAAGGTTTTCCCCAGTCATGTCCGACTGGGGGTTGGTCCTCATCTCCACTGCTAAGCCGAAGAACCGGCGTTGTCAGTAGACACCTCCAAGGTCATGTGGCCGGCATGACTGCATGGCACGCTGTTACCTTACTACCCTAGTGTATATTTTCATCCTTTTAATAAGGTGACGGTTTCTCCTTGACATTAAGTCTAGCTGTGCCCAACTCGGGGTGGGGGTGGTGGTGGTGGTGCTCATCTCCATTTCTAAGCCAAAGAGCCAGCATTGTCCATAGACACCTAAAAGTCATGTGGTTGGCATGACTGCATGGTGCGCTGTTACCTTCCTGCCCTAGTGTATATTTTCATCCTTTTAATAAGGTAAAGGTTTCCCCTTGACATTAAGATTAAGTCTAGTCATGTCCGACTCTGGAGAGTGGTGCTCATCTCCATTTCTAAGCTGAAGAGCTGGCATTGTCCATAGACACCTAAAGGTCATGTGGCCAGCATGACTGCATGGCATGCTGTTACCTTCCTGCTCTTGTGTATATTTTCATCCTCTTAATAAGGTAATTGTTTCCCCATGACATTAAGTCTAGTTGTTCCCAACTCTTGGGGGGGGGGGGTACTCATCTCCATTTGTAAGCCGAAGAGCCGGCGTTGTCCATAGACACCTCCAAGGTCGTGTGGCCGGCATAACTGCATGGAGTGCTGTTAGCTTCCCACAGAAGTGGCACCTATTGATCTACTCACATTTGCATGTTTTGGAACTGCTAGGTTGGCAGAAGCTGGGGCTAACAGCAGGAGCTCACCCCGCTCCCCGGATTCGAACCGCCAACCTTCAGCAGTTCAGCAGTTCTGGGTACCTCAGAACAATCCATCCTGCCCCCCCCCCCGCCTCCCCCAAATGGTCCCAACCCTCCCTCCTGCTTCCCTGGCCTCTTGCCTTCAACAAGTTGGAGGAACTTGGGAGGCGAGAGTGGAGCGGAGGCTGTGGAGCCGTCTGTTTCTGGGGCTCGCTTACCACCAAGACGGGGACCCCTGCGGCCAGCGAGTAGAGGAGGACCGGGGGCACGGCGCTTCTCTCCTCGGGCCCCGGGTAAGGCTTGCGGTAGGCGCTCTCGTAGCAGAAGAAGCCCTGCACGTTGACGGCGAAGGTGTCGGTGTACTCGAAGTAATAGGCCAGCATCACGGTCCCGGCCATGATCACCATCTGGAAGTAAAGCATCCTGGTGAGGAATAGGAGGAGGAAGAGGAGAGGAGGAAGAAGAAGAAGTGGAGGAGGAAGAAGAAGAGGAGGAGAGGGCACTGGCATGTAGCAGGAGTCCGTCGGCGGCCGCGGCAGCCCCCCGCCTCGGCTGCGCGCTCCGCCCGCTCCCCGGCCGCATCCACGCCGGAAAGAAGCGGCGGTGAGGTCAGTCCCAGGCGGCAGGAGCCGGATTAGGAGGAGGAAGAGGAAGAGGAGGAAGAGGAGAAGCCCAAGGGAAGACCCGCGAGTCCATGGGTCCGAGGAGAGGCAGGAACAGAGCGTCGCGATCGGGAGCTCCCTGGATGCTTAAATCCCCGGGAAGATGAGCCGCCCTCGTCCCTCGAAGCCCAGCATCCTGCTTGCTTGATGGGCGGGGGGTGCCACCCCCTTTTAACACGCCATTCCAGTCGCTTCCCGAGGACAAGGGGTTTTTTGGGGGGAGACCCTTTTGCCCGCTAAGACCCGTCGCGGTCTTCCCAGAGAGAAAGGCAGCCCTGCTTCTTCTTCGAGGACCAAAGCCTCCTTGCCCCGAATCCTGGATCCCTCGCTCGCGGAGGCGACGCAAATGCCGTTTCCAAGGCTGCCGGGGAGCCGAGGGGGTGGGCACAGCGAGGTGGGTGGGGGCCTCCAAGGAAGCCAGATCTCTCTCTCTCTCTCCACCCCCCCCTTCTCTCCCTCTCAATCCTTCGCCGCTCCGCCCTTGCCTCGCTCTCTCCCCTAGAAGGATTTTTGGGGACTCTCTTTTTAAAACACACACACACATACACAGCGGAAGCGTTCACTCCCCCGGGCTCCTCAATCGGAGCCTCCCATGTGTCATATCTGTGTCTCTCTAAGCCTCCTCCTCCTCCTCCTGATGCTCTTCTACTGGCAGCTGGCTGCTTCGCCTCACCTAAGAAACCCAAGGAAAGCTTAACCAGGTTGAGCATCCTTCTCTGAAAGGCTTGGGATGTCCAAAAGGAAATGACATTTCATGATACAAAAATCCCAGGCTAACGATACAGATATTCCAGTATCTTAAACACTTGGGATATCCAACATCTCATGGTACAGATATCCCAGCATCTGAAATCCCAGGTGCATGATACAGATATCACAACATCTGAAATGCTTGGGATATCCGCATCTCATGGTACAGATACTTATTTATTTACTTACTTACTTATTTATCATATGTATACTTACATACTTAGGCGATCCCTCATTGTCCAAGTAGGATAGTCTTCCAAAATCAGTGTACTCGTGAGTCCCTACGTGACTGTGGAGCCCTATTCTTAACCTGCATCGTCTCCCGCAGTGAGGACATTAGTTTCAATGTGGAGGGTGGTCTCAGTCGGGGTTGGCTTGATGCGCCTTCCTCTTGGCACATTTCTCTCTTTTGCCCTCCATTCGTGTCTCTTCAAATTCTACAGCACTGCTGCTCGCAGCTGACCTCCAGCTGGAGCGCTCAAGGGCCAGGGCTTCCCAGTTCTCAGTGTCTATGCCAGAGTTTTTAAGATTGGCTTTGAGCCCATCTTTAAATCTCTTTTCCTGTCCCAACATTCTATTTTTCGTTCTTGAGTTCAGAGTAGAGCAACTGCTTTGGGAGATGGTGGTCGGGCATCTGGACAACGTGGCCTTCAGTCCAGTGGAGATGATGGAGGAGGACCATGGCTTAAATGTTGGTGCTCTTGGCTTCCTCTTCCAGCACGCTGAGATTTTTCCACCTGTCTTCCCAAGAAATTTGCAGGATTTTCCAGAGGCAACACTGATGAAACTTGCAACGCTGATGGAATCGTTCTAGGAGTTGCACGCTATAGCAGGGTTGGGAGGACAATAGCTTTATAAACAAGCACCTTGGTATCCCTACGGATGTTCCGGTCCTCAAACACTCTCTGCTTCATTCGGGAAAATGCTGCACTCGCAGAGCTCAAGCGGTGTTGTATTTCAGTGTCAATGTTGACTTTGGTGGAGAGGTGGCTACCAAGGTAGTGGAAATGGTCAATATTTTCTAATGTTACACCATGCTTGGGATATCCGGCATCTCATGGTACCGACATTTATTTATTTATTTATCTATCTATCATATTTATATACCGCCTTTTTCAGCCCAAAAGCGACTCAAGGTGGTTTACAGTCGGCAATCAATGCCCCCAACAGCATAAAATATAATTAAAAACATCAACATATAATATAAACCATATAAAAACAGTAAAAGCAATAAAACAATAAAACACAAGTCCTTCAGAGTCTCATTACTAAAAACATTTTCCAGTTGCATCGTCCAATCGTTCCTCAGATCTCAGTATCTGAAATGCTTGGGATATCCAACATGGTATAGATATCCCAGTATTTATTTATTATTTATTTATTTACAACATTTATATGCCACCCTTCTCACCCTGAAGGGGACTCAGAGCAGCTTACAAGATATATATACATACAATATATTATATTATTAGCATAGCACAATATCAGTAGTGTATATTACTTTATTGTACTATACCATTGTACTGTAATATTATTAGTAATATTACATATAATATAAAATCTATAATTATAATACCATATTATTAGTAGTAGTAGTTTTATATTGCATTACATTATAATATTATAAATATAATATTGTTTGTATTATATTATATTATATTATTAGCATAACACAGGAGACAAGATGTCTCCTGTCTTCCTGGGCCTCCTCTCTTCACTCTGGTCCCAGAGCAGCAGTTGGTACTGGAGGCAGGGGCTCCCAATTGATAGCACAGGCAGGAGACAAGATGGAACAAGTATCCAAAATGCTTGGGAATTTTGTAAAATGGATATTCATAACCATTTGGGAAAACCGGGAATCTCCACAGGCTGTTGGAAGTGTGATCTCAGGAGATTAATTGCCATTCACACTATCTGGAATAACCATAACCTTTTGGAAAGAGATTACCTTGTTAGAGATCCTAACCTTTTGTAAAGTATGATCCTCCTGAGCAGAGTTAAAAACTCACTTAAGTCAACCTTCTCCTTAGTGGTAAATAATATCCACTAGTATTCATGTAAGGCAATTAGGTTTCTCAGCTGTTAGACTGATATACCTAGATATCTCTTTGAACTGTTAGGAACAAAGAAATGCCAATGCACAAAAAATATAGAGCAGAGTTTCAGAAGTGTTATTTCAGTTGCCTAAAAAAAACACTCTCCCTTAAAACATTTTGGTTTAAATCATGCTCTCAAGAGACAAAAATAAGTAATCGTCTTTAAAATGACATTGTTGGTTTACTCACAAACTTTATGTATTCAGCATACAGGTACATTGCTTTTCAGTCCAGTTACCAATAGGATTTGAAGTACTTTCTCTGTGCAGATAACATCTAACATCTAAGACCTAAAATCTAGTCCTTGCATTTTTCTGTTTCCTGCCCAGAGATAGAAAGTTCCATCTTATATTGAACTTTACCCTTACCTGTTATTTGCACTTTATACATTAGCCCTGCCCTCACAATTGATTTGTCTCAGCCTGCCCACCTGAGACCAAAAACTGCTACTATTTCAGGCCACTGGTTGTTGCTCAATGGTTGTTTTTATATTGTGTTATGTATTTGTTTGCTTTATTTTGTTTATGGTGTGTTTTATGAATTTTAATGTGTTGAATTTTAACTATATTGATCGAGTTTGTCCCCATGTAAGCTGCCCCAAGTCCCTTTGGGGAGATGGAGACAGGGTACAAAAATAAAGTTGTTGTTGTTGTTGTTGTTCTTACATCATCACCTCTCTGGTCTGAGAGACTAACAGAGTCTCTGTACAGTCTGAAATTCTAATGGATTTTCTAAAGCATTCTGTTTCTACTGACTTCTAAAATGGAGTCTGAGATCTGATCAGTCCCAGATCTGTTCACATAGTCTGCAGACTCTCCCACAACATAAAGTTGAGAAAAACTGCATACCAGTACACGCATATTCAATACAGTAAGCAACCTGAATTATATACAAATTACTAGCGGAGGCTTGAAGAAGGTTGTTATTTCCAACAGGGATATCTGACATCTCATGGTACAGATATTCCAGTATCCAAAATCCTTAGGAAATCCGACATCTCATGATACAGATATCCCAGTATCTGAAATGCTTGAGATTTCAAATCCTGGGATATCTGTATAATGCACCAGGGATTTCAGATCCTAGGATATCTGTATCATGAGATGCCTCTGAGATGGGACCCAAGCCTAACCACAATGATGTTTCCTATGCTCCTTAGACAGGCAACTGGAAGGGAATTGTATACCCAGTCTTTTTGTGCATGAAACAAAGGGTGTGTGATGTTTCTTTTTTTACTGTAAGCCACTTTGGGTCACTTTTTTTGAAAGAAAAGCAAGGTGTTGTTGTTGTTGTTGTTGCTGTTGTTGCTGTTGCTGTTGTTGTTGTATTGTACCACCTGGGAGGGTATCAGCAACCTACATGGACATGTTTGGATTTGGGAGGAATCCAGATTTCCAGAGAAGTAATGCTCAAGATATAAGAATTCAAGAGCCTTGTGTGTGTGTGTGCCTGTCAATTTGTGGTGACCTTATGAATTCCATATGATTTTTCAAACAAAAGGTACTCCTCAAGGGTGGTCTTGACAGTTTCTTCCTTTGAAATACGGTATAAAAATGTGGTTCAAAGGTGAAAGGGTTTCCTTTGAATGAAGGTGATCCACCAACACTCCAAATAAGAAGAGCTGCTACCTAGCCACAGTTTGCCTTACACATCTGTAATGACATTGTAGACCTTTTTTAAAAAAGGAGGGAGAGATCTTTTGCAACTTCTTGGGAAATAAGCAGCCCAGGATGAGTATTCCCCGCAGGCTGAGAAACCTAGGTGCTTCAGAGCTAAGGAAAGTTGGTTATCAGGCTACAATTCATTGAACCCTCTTGCCAGCATGACTCTGTTCCCGGCTCTACTGCTGTTGCTTCCCTATTGAAACAGACAGAGGAATGCATATCAGCAGCAACTCTCATACAAAAACATTTATACTTGTTTCTGTTGTGTGCTTTCCAGTTGTTCCAGTTTCATGGTGACCTTAAGACAAACCTATCATGGAGTTTGCTTGGCAAGGTT